CCCTGCAGAATTGGTTTTCCCTTCGTTGGGAGCAGCGCTGGGCTGTTCGAATCACGGACACCCTGAAACTGAGCTGCAGCACAGTGCTCAAAACCATACAGCAGTTTAACAAGACAGGTGCCACTCAGAACAAACGTCGCAATGGTCAACCAAAGAAGTTGAGTGCATGTGCTCAGCATTATATCTAGAGGTTGTCTTTTGAAAATAGATGTATAAATGCTGCCAGCATTGCTGCAGTGGCTGAAGGCATGGAGGTTGAGCCTGTCAGTGCTCAGACCATATGCAGCACACTGCTTCACATGGCTGTCTTCCTAGAAGGAAGCCTTTTCTAAAGATAATGCACAAGAAAGCCTGCAAACAGTTTGCTGAAGACAAGCAGACTAAGGACATGGGTTACCTGTGGTCTGATGAGAACAAGACTATCTTTTTGTGGTTCAGATGGTGTCAGGGGTTTGTGGAGGCAACCAGGTGAAGAGTACAAAGATAAGTGTATTGCCTACAGTCAAACATGGTGTTGGGATGTCAATGTTTGGGGCTGCATGAGTGCTGCTGGCACTGGGGGGCTTCAGTTAATTGAGGGAACCCTGAATGCCAACATGAACTGTGCCATCCTGAAAAAGCATGATCCCCCACCTCAAAAAAGACCAGCGCCTTGCTAAATAAACTGAGGATAAAGGTACTTGACTGGCCAAGCATGTCTCCACACTCTATTGAACGTCTGTGGGGCATCCTCAAATGAAAGGTGTAGGAGTGTAGGAGTGCAAGGCCTCTAACCTTGCTCGATAATGTCATCATGGAGGAGTGGAAGAGGATTCCAGTGGTACCCTGTTAACTCCATGCCCAACAGACTTAAGGCAGCTTTGGAAAATAATGTTGGTCACGCAAAATATTGACACTTTGGGGACAGTTTGGACATTTTCACTTAGGGGTGTACTCACATTTGTTGCCAGCTCTTTAAACGTTAATAGCTGTATGTTGAGTTATTTTGAAGGGACAGCAAACTTACACTGTTATCCAAGCTGTACACCAACTGCTTCACATTGTGTCAAAGTGTCATTTCTTCATTGTTGTACCATGAAAAGATACATACACATGTAGGTACAGCTACGATACAGCTAGGATCCTCAAGGTCCCAGGCCGGGTAGACAATCCAAGCTTGAAGGATAGCCCGCCCGCAGAAGCGACAGGGGAATGTTTTATTTTTTTCTTCAATGTAGATTTTTTTTTCAAAGGGGGGACTAAAATCACTATTAAAGTTTAATGGCATGGCCCCCTTTCTCTATCTTCAGGTAATTCTGATAATTCTGATGAACGTCTTCAGTGGTCT